GGTAAAACCCACTTCATCAGAGGAGTTGGATGAGGATGAAGTAAACTGCTATTTTAGTGCATCTCTTTATAATAAGGCATCTTGCTAAGCATTAAGTTCTGTGTTTTGTGTGCATAGTAATATAGTATAAGGGAACTAAATTGTGTGTAGACATATTTTATTTTGCAATCCAGACTGGATTATTTTAAATTGTGGCTCTATCTCTTCTACTTTGTTTTCTGTGATTTGATTAATCCCACTGCTAGTGCTAATGTTAAATTAGGAATGCATGCAGAAGTTGGCAGCTTTTGTAGCAAAATATATCTGTTCTTGCCTGAAATATTAAAAAGTCACAGTTACTTTTGCAAAAACTAAAAAGCACAGTTTATTTGAGACAAATTGTGTGAAGAACAGAAAATTATGGAATGCGCACTATTAAGGTATTATAGTGTATTATAGTGTAGACCAGTGTTTCTCAACCAGTGGTATGAGTGCCCTTAGGGGTACTTGAGAGAAGCCTGGGGAGCACGTCAACACAACTGAAATTTGGAGAAAACTGAGTTTTTGTTTTAAGTTCTACAGTGCTTTATTATTTTTGTACTTTTTAAACCCAAAAATTTCATCACCTGCCCAGCTATGATTAAGTGATTTAAACAAATGTGTTACAATGGTAGAAAAAATGGTTGTGTGTCTAAAAACTGTAAGTACTGGGGGTATTATCATATTTTTTTTAAAAAAAGGGGTACTTTATAAAAAAAAAAAGTTGAGAAACACTGGTGTAGCCTGCTTCATCTGTTATATATTTCAGAGTTTGGTTGTGCCAGGAAAATGGGATGTGCCTGGAATGGGATTGCTTTTTCATAAAACCGTACAGAAAAGAGACAGAATCACCAGGCAGTTGAAAGGGGCTGGCAGGGGATGTGCCTCCCTCCCTCATCGGAGACTGCTCCAATCCCAAGCCTCCTACCCTCCACGTGCCCTTTAGGGAGGGCAGGGGGTGTGAAGCCCTCCCCCCCTCTGGATTCGTAAGGGAATATTGCTGGCTGTTCCCCTTCATCAGGAAGCAAAGGGGAAGTGCACAGTTTGTTGTATTCCTCTCTCTGGCTGGGGAGCACAGAGACCAGATAAACCTGGACCTGTCCTAGCCAGAGGACATGCATCCCTCCCCTGGCTGTGCCTGCTGTAGCTGCAGTGTCAATGTAGAGGTCCTTTTCACCTGGCTTCAAGCTGCTGCGGTGAGAGAGGTCTGGGATAGTCCTCTCTCCCTGGGGCAGCCTGCAGACTGAACCCCTCATCCTCAGCCCCAGCCCAGAGCAATGATTTAAAGGAAGTATGGACATTTTCATTTTATTTTCCACAAACAAAAATCAATTGAATTAAGGACCTGAGCAATGCCAGGTAAATCTTCTAGTATAGTGTAATAATGTAGTCTATTGTCAGAGTGACAGGGTGCAACTTAAAGTAGATTCTTAGTTAATTACTCACATGTTCTCTGGCGCCCTCAGGTGGTGTTGCCCTCCTGTGTCTTTGTTCTCTTTGTGAATCTTTGATCCCTGGTCTATATTAGGACTTTATTTCAAAATAACCCTCCCCCCCAATCAAATTTGTAAGTGGAGCATCCACAATACCAATGAGACATGGATTTAGAAATCTGTACTGATTTTTATCAAGAGTAACACTAATTCTGAGAGAGTTATTTTGAAACAATAGTGGTGTGGATACTCCGGTGTTGCTATTTTGAAATAACTACTCCCCAGAGTAATTTGAACTAATTACTCCCCAATGCTTCCCGGGGCTCTAAGTGCGAGATAGTGTGTCCACATTAACGGAGCCTGTTTCAGACTAATTTCAAGGCTTTCCCGTATTGTGGACACACTAGATTGAATTTGTGAAATTGGGAGTTAAGTCAAATGTGCTAATTTTGAAATAGTTTCCTAGTGTAGGTATGGTCTGATAGAGCTATTGTAGCTCAAAGGTCTGAGCCATTATATTTTCTTCCTCACTGACAGAACCATTTTCAGCCTAGTGTGTGCATCCACGTTTAGTGTCCTGCACTCAGCAGATAGATTCCAATCACTTTTCATAGACTCATAGACTCATAGACTTTAAGGTCAGAAGGGACCATTATGATCATCTAGTCTGACCCCCTGCAAAGTGCAGGCCACAAAATCTCACCCACCCCTCCTAGAATAATCCTCTCACCTATATCTCAGATATTGAAGCCTTCAAATACTTTGAAGACCCCAAGATGCAGAGAATCCTCTAGCTGTGATCTGTACCCCATGCTACAGAGGAAGGCAAAAAACCTCCAGGGCCTCTGCCAATCTACCCTGGAGGAAAATTCCTTCCCGACCCCAAATATGGTGATCAGCTAAACCCTGAGCATGTGGGCAAGACTCACCAGCCAGACACCCAAAAAGTTCTCTATAGTAACTCCTATCATCCCTCCATTGACCTATTTCCCACTGATAACGAATGGTCAATTAGTTACCAAGATCATGTTATCTCATCAAACCATCCCCTTCATAAACCCATCTAGTTTTCATAGCAATTATGTGTGATATTATCCTTTGCTGCTGCTCTTATTTGTTAATTGTATTACATTGAGGTGAGCATCATCTGCTTGTGGAATTTGCTCCCAGCTTTGTTATCAGCTTTTTGGACTCATCAGCTCTGGCTGAGTTGAGGACTTCTTTGCAAATCCAATTAATTAAAAGTTCGGACCAGATTGGTGCGGTCACAGGAAATAATTGTCAGAATTCTTCCCAGACCCTGCACATCCTGCATGGGATGACTGTCCTCTGGATACTGAGAAGATCATTAGCCATTCTTACAGCCATTCTGACACCTGATTATCTGGATGAGGTAGTTGGATATGGTGATAAAGCACCCACCTCCATATTGGTATTCTGGAACCACTATTCTGTCTATCCCAAGATATGGGTTCAGCGGACATGAACTAGTGAGATTTGGTTACACATTGCAGTAATACTCAGCAGTAGGATGTGACTTCTATTTCACACCCATGTGTTGCACTCTGACTGGTATGTGTAGACCCGGATGGTGTATACAAAAAAGTTTTCTATTTCCTATTAACAAAACACTGGATGGTGTGCTATTACTGCACTGGGTAGACAAGCTCACATGTGCTAACATACATAGTGTTGCCTGATTTTTAGAGAATGCATTAATTATATTGATTACTTAAGAATCCTTGCTTTGAGGATTGACAAGTACTTGCCCCAAGATCAGGCCCAGTATTATGTAAATCATTATGTTATTGGGAATCCCGATGTGTACAGTTGCAACCCTCACACTATACGAACTCTCTTATATTGGGAGGGGTTGCAAGTGCTTTGGAGGATAGGGTCATAATTCAACATGATCTGGACAAACTGAAGAAATGGTCTGAGGTAAATAGGAAGAAGTTTAATAAGGACAAATGCAAAGTACTCCACTTAGGAAGAAACAATCAGTCTCACACATACAGAATGGGAAGCGACTGTCTAGGAAGGAGTACTGCAAAAAGGATTCTAGGGATCATAGCGGACCACAAGTTAAATATGAGTCAACAGTGTAACGCTGTTGCTAAAAAAAGCAAACATGATTGTGGGCTGCATTAACAGGAGTGTTGTGAGCAAGACATGAGAAGTCATTCTTCTGCTCTACTCTGAGCTGATTAGGCCTCAGTTGGAGTACTGTGTCCAGTTCAGGGCACCACATTTCAAGAAAGATGTCTAGAAATTGGAGAAGGTCCAGAGAAGAGCAACAAGAATGATTAAAGGTCTAGAGAAGATGAGCTATGAGGAAAGACTGAAAGAATTGGGTTTGTTTAGTTTGGAAAAGAGAAGACTGAAAGGGGACATGATAGTGGTTTTCAAGTGCCTAAAAGGGTGTTACAAGGAGGAGGGAGAAAAATTGCAATGGGATTAAACTGCAGCAAGGGAAGTTTAAGTTGGACATTAGGAAAAACTTCCTAACTGTCAGGGTGGTTAAACAGTGGAATAAAATGCCTAGTAAGGTTGTGGAATCTCCATCTCTGGTGATATTTAAGAATAGGTTAGATAAATGTCTATCAGGGATGGTCTAGACAGTGCTTGGTTCTGCCGTGAGGGCAGGGGACTGGACTCGATGACCTCTCGAGATCCCTTCCAGTTCTAGTGTTCTATGATTCTATGATATTGACAAATATAGCTTATTAATACTTTGTCCTAGCTTAACATACAGGATTGCCTGTAGGTCTGTTGTGTAACAGTCAAAATGTACTCTAATATAAGTCTATAACTCTATTATAAGAAAATATCTATAGGCTAGCAAGTAGGCTAGTCTTCGATATATCCCATGCACCAATAACCTGCACCAGTTTGTTGCCACTTCTGTATTTGACTCATATACTTGTCATGTCAGAATTTCCCCTTAAACTCTATTTTCAGGTTCTCAGGGAGTTGGGGTTCTCTGTTGGGCCATTTATCTGTGCAAAGTTGCTAACTTGCTGTAGCTAATGTCTTACAGTATATAAGCCTATAGGTTTCTTGCATTACAGCTGAATAAAACACAACGCAGAATGTAATGCGAACCAGTGAATATAATAAAGGCAAACTAGACCACTGGGCTACAATAGATAAGAAGCCAGAGCAACTTAAGTGTTCAGTGAATAGCAAAATACCATAGTGAGTTCAATGGGACTGTGATACTCATGTGAGTAAAGGTTTTAGGATCCGGTCTTTCCAGAGTGGTTAATCATGGTGAATTTATTTTCTGCCTAATGGATAAATGCTAGCTAGAAACTGGGTTATAGTCATGGCCAACAGCCTCCTGCCTGGACCTGAAAACATTTGTCCTCACTGCAACAGAACTTGTGATTCAAGGATCGGCCTTATCAGCCACCTGAGGAGCCGCCACTCCCATGAAAGATGATCATACTCAGCAATGAGTGATCACTCATCATCATCTGATGCTAGATTAATAATTACTGTGTCCTGTTACAATCAGAAAAGATGGTCTTCTGTTTCTCTTTCTAGCCTCCATTGTCATCCAGAAGTGGTGGTGTCACATGGACCCTTGTTTGGATGGAGAGGACTGTAAGGTGCTACCAGACTATTCAGGTTGGTCTTGCAGCAGTGGAAATAAAGTCAAAACCACGAAGGCAAGTACAGAGACAGTGTATATTTGAACGGTATGCAGTGTTGTTGTTGTAGCCGCGTTGGTCCCAGGATGTTAGAGCAACAAGGTTCGGTGAAGTGATTTTTGTTTTTGAACTAACGTCAGTGGATTAAAGACAAGCTTCTGAGCGTACACAGAGCTCTTATCCACGTAACCTTAAAATTTGCGTCTCTCACCAACAGATGTTGGTCCAATAAAAGATATTCCCTCTCTCCCTTGTTTCTCTGTATTTAAAGATGATGGTTGAATGACCGCATGTGCTCATTTCCATTGCCCTCTGCCCTGCCAGTGTTAGCATCAACCTCACCATCTCCAATATTGAATTGGTTTTTTTAAAACAGTGATGTGGGTGATAGTATCTTCACAGGGAGCAAAGGCCATGTCATCACTCCATGGAAGCTGGATGCTGCTGCAATCTATCTTCCAGAGTTTGATTTAGCAAGTCTAGTTAAGACTTGCTAAATTGAACTCAGAGGGCACCCCCATTTGTGTCTGGTATGCCTTCTCTTGCCAGGAGCAGGGGAAGCTGATGGAAGCATTTGCTGCTGTCGGCCTCCTGCTGTAGGATAGTAATAGAAATGTAGCCGTGTTAGTCTGTAGCATTTTGCTCCTGCTGTAGGGACGCTGCAAGCTCAGCATAAGGTAAGCCGACTCCAGCTACATATTCTACGTAGCAGGAGTTAACATACCTTCAACGAAGCTGCCGGGTCTAGTGTAGACCTGGCCTAAGATGCTGGATCTGAGCTGAAGAACAAATACTCCTCTCTCCAGCAGCTAGCTTGGTTAAATTAGCTAGGTGCTAGAGTGAGCTGGGGGAGGGGAGAGTTTGGGCTTGCACATCCCTAGCACCTTCTTCATTCACTATGGAGGAAGGGCTAGGATCAGTATTCTCTGTAAGCTGTGTGCCTGTGCAGCCATTCAAGAGAGATTTAAATGCCAACCAGCTGACTAGCAGAGTATCCACAGCTGGGTTTCTCCTGTTTCTACTGGTGGTGCACATTCACACGTGCATTGGTGCACATAAAATTATTCCCCACAGGGATGGAAAAGATTAGAGGGAACCTTGGCTAGGATCTAGAGATGTTAAATCCCAGTTAATCAGTTAACCGATTAAACGTTCGGTTCACCTCATGTTTAACAGGTTAACTGACAATGCAGGATCTGGGCTGGGGACTGCTCTAGCCCTGATGGAGCAGCACCAAGCCTCATGGGGTTGCTGGCTCCCAGACCAATGCTGGGGCTGGGGCTGGGGCTGCTCCAGCCCCTACTGGTTACCAGTTAACCGGAACCAGTAAACCTTTCACATCCCTACTAGGATCTTTATAGTGGGTTATCACATGGCTAGCTCTGCCTCAAACTCCAGTCTTTCCAGAGAGATGAGTTTTGCACTATATGGGGGATACGTATCCCCTGCACGGTCTCCCCAAAATCCTGCCCTTTCCAACAGGAGAAGGATTTGTCCCTTCCAGCAGGGGTTGGCCTGTCCGAAGGACACACGGCCGAGCATGTCTAATTCATAGAATCATAGAACACTAGAGCTGGAAGGGACCTTGAGAGGTCGTCAAGTCCAATCCCCTGCCCTCACGGCAGGACCAAGCACTGTCTAGATCATCCCTGATAGATGTCTATCTAACCTGCTCTGAAATATCTCCAGAGATCACAACCGCCCTAGGCAATTTATTCCAGTGTTTGACCACCCTGACAGTTAGGCACTTTTTCCTGATGTCCAACCTAAGTCTCTCTTGCTGCAGTTTAAGCCCATTGCTTCTTGTCCTGTCGGCAGAGGTCAAGGAGAACAATTTTTCTTCCTCCTCCTTGTGACACCCTTTTAAGTACTTTAAAAGCCATTGTCATGTCCCCTCTCAGTCTTCTCTTTTTAAACTAAACAAGCCCAATTCTTTTAGTCTTCCATCCTAGGTCATGTTTTGACCTTTAGTCATTTCTGGTGCTCTTCTGTGGACATGTGCCTGGCAGTGTTGAGAGAGTCATTATCCATGGGCAAATATTCAGTCAAACATGCCCACAACATAAACCAGGCAGCTGAGAACAGTTTCCTAAAGGTCTGTGTGTGTGTGTGTGTGTGTGTGTGTGTGTGTGTGTGTGTGTGTTTTGTAAGGAGGGACAGCACATTTGTAATGATGGGTACGTCTAGACTACAGGCTTTTGTCGACAAAGGCTTTGTCGACAGATACTGTCGACAAAGCCTCTGTCGACAAAGAGCATCTAGACTACATCCAGTTCTGTCGACAAAGCAAGCCGCTTTGTCGACATGAGAGTGTAGACGCAAAGGACAGTGTAGATGCAATAACGCCTTCTATCAACAGAACTCTGTCGACAAAAGGCGTTATTCCTCGTAGAATGAGGTTTATTGCCGTCGACAAAACTGCCAAGTTCTGTCGATGTTATGTCGATGCAGGTATAGTTTTATTGACAAAAGGGTGGTTCATGACCTTGATTTGCAAAATGTGAATGTAGGGACAAGATCTTCACAAGGGGCTGACTAACATTTGGTTCTTGACTAGAGATCAGAACAAGTGACCTGTTTTTGAAGGTGTGGAGACTCCACACTGATTTCCAGTGTCACTCTGCCCAGTGACTTAGGCTCATAATTATGGACCTACTTTTTGTAATGTCTTGGACAAGGTCTTCATTTTGAAGGCCAGCTTCCTGTCTAATGACCACCGAAAGTACAAATCTCTCATCCCTCTGACTGCTTAACAAGCTAAAAGTATTTCAAGAAGCTAAGATTTGGCAACTCATGATGGGCTGGATGTTTAAATACCTCTTGAAAATAGCATTCCACAACCCTGTAGAGATAAATGGTTAGCGTTGGAGTCCCTCCCTCCACCTCTTCAAATTGAGAAAGGATTCAGCTGTTTGTTATGAATTAATAAGCAAATATTATTGCCAGATTCCATTTGGTAATGACTGTTTGAAAGACTATAACAAATTATATATTAGATCAGAAAAAATTAAATATATCAGGCAACTGTTATGTGATCCTGTGAGTAATCATTTAACAACCCAGATCCCATGGTGATAGGCTAACTCAATACACAAGGAGAGAGATGTAATTCATAGTTTGAAAACTGCTGGGCTGTGTCTAGACTGGCAAGTTTTTTCACAAAAGAAAAACTTGCCAGCTGTCTGCACTGGGCACTGGAATTTCTGCAAGAACACTGACGATCTCATGTAAGAAATCAGTGCTTCTTGCGGAAATACTGTGCTGCTCCCGTTCGGGCAAAAGTCCTTTTGCGCAAAAGAGCCAGTGTAGACAGCTCAGATTTGTTTTCTGCAAAAAAGCCCCGATCTCGAAAATGGCAATTGGGGCTTTTTTGAGGAAAGGTGCGTCTAGATTGGCACGGACGCTTTTCCACAAAAAGTGCTTTTGCGGAAAAGCATCCGTGCCAATCTAGACGCTCTTTTCCGCAAATGCTTTTAACGGAAAACTTTTCCGTTAAAAGCATTTGTGGAAAATCATGCCAGTCTAGACATAGCCCTGCTGTTTTCAAAGTTACAGTAATGGATAAAAGTTAATATTTATGTAATACTATCATCATGATAAAATATATAAATCATGCCGTACCCCTTTCTCCTGCAGCGTACAGTCTACAGCACAGGTCTTGCAATTAACAGTCCACATGTACAAAGCATTGCCAGTTTTAGGACTGGGGAGTATGGATCCATTCCTGTGAGTTGCTAAGCATTTGCCCCAAACTGATTTTCTTCCATGTGTGTTAAAGTTAGTAGAAGTGGGGCGCCCTCTACCTCTCATGGGATCAGGCACCAAGTTAGCTGTAGATGGGGGAGAGAACTTCAAACAAAGGAGTGAGCTGGAGAAAGTAGAAACTGTATATAGGAAGTAATAGAACTACTCCCATACACGTGTGTGGGGGATGTAGCTCCGGGTATCTAGAACAGGGGTGGTTAACCTCAGGCCCAGGGGCCAGATGCGGCCCCTGGTTTCCCTGGATCTAGCCCCCAAGGTTTAGGGCTCCCCTCCCGCATTGGGGAGCATATACTGGCACTCCAGCACTCTCCCAACCCACAACAGGACTGGAGCACACAAAATCTACTAGCCTAGGCCCCCCTAATCTCTGGTGTGCAAGGGGAATGTGGGGAGTGTCTTTCTCCTCAGCTGGGGGCCACGACACTGAGGATTTTTGTTTTGTTTTGTGTTTTGTTTCTCACTTGTGTGCGGCCCCTGACTGATTTTTTTCTGCAGGTCAGTGGCCCCTGGTCCAAAAAAGGTTCTCCACCCCGATCTAGAAAAAGGCAAGTTAAAATAACTTTTAAAAATGAAGCAAGAGTTAGGTGTACTCCATCCCTTGAACAAATGAACAAAGGAAAGGGGTTAAAAGGCCAAACTAGGACCTTTGCAAGGATTAATAGCATGAGGCCTGGTGCTGCAAGCATTTACACATTTGCTTGACTTTGCTCCCATTGATTTCAGTGGGCCTGACCATGCACCAGAATGAAACTTCTTGTGTTTGAAGGGCCTGCCTCATAACCAGGGAAAAGAGGCACCAGTAAACTGTCATGGGACAAATTCAGTACACTCTATTTATGTCATCCCCAAAATAAAATGCCCTGCAACCAGCAAACTAGAGAATAGGCTAAGCATTGTGGTGGCCTTGGGAATGTCTTCAGAACGGCAGAGTGAGGCAAATTGTTCTGCCTCCAGTGAGAATTGTATGAGTTCCTGGATCCCAGTGGGGTTGGATAGGTCTAACTGAGGGCAGGGATTATCCCTGAGAAAGCATTTAATTGAAAGGGTATGCAAATAACAGGTGCATATTACTTGTTCTAGCGTATTTTAAACACAAGAAAAATGTTCTTTGTAAAATGCAGCAAGAGGGGAAAAAATCTTGTTTTCTTAAACAGGCAAACAACCGAATTCATACTGACAGACACCTATAGTCAGGAATACAAAGATATGGGTATATTGGGATTCTCTCTGTACTGCATACATGCTTTTTCCTC